AACAGCAACGGATGCTGAGCAGAGGCACCCAACCCTCCCGAAATGGAACTGGACTGGTGTACCCCACAACTGGTGTTTCCTCTCCCCTCTTTCTTCCCCCTCCCTTCCCTCCCTCCTCCCTTCGACTCGCATCCCAACCTCTCTTTCTCACGCCCACCCGCCGGCCTCTAATTTCCCCACTCTCCGCATCTCCCGAAACAACTACCACCCCGACTCTCTCTGCATCCCCTGGAGCGGCCATAACATCCCCTAAGTCCTAGGGTACCTCGTCAGCCAGCGAGGGATCAACAACAGCGCCGAAGATGAGGTTGGCGCGTGGGTCCACCAGCTGGTAGATCTGCTCCGCTGCCTCGTTCACCTGCCGCGTGGGGGCGTGGGGGAGTGGACGGGTGGAAAGGTGTGGGGGTGAGTAGAAGGGTGGATGAAAGGATGGGTGGATGGATACCCGGATGGGTGGATGGATACGAGAAGATTTGCACGCAGTGGGCTCCGATGTGCGATAGAGGGGAGGGAGAAATGATCACACATGGACACACCGACTTGTCTCCGCTTTTCATGCGCTCTGCATGCCACAGCATGACACAACGCTGCATGCCACACGGGCCTGCATGGCTATCTGGACAAGGGTCATGAGGTAAGCATGGTCTTGCCAGCGGGCACAAAGCGCATCACACCCCAGTGACCCACTCCCGTCTCAACATCCACCCCAGTGACCCGCATTTGCCCCGCCTCCTCCCTCCCTCTCTCACCTCGCTGAGCGTCATGCTGGGCGGGCCTGTGATGTTCCACACGATGCCCGTGGCGTTGCCTATGCGTGTGTCCAGCAGCGGCGACTGTATTGCCTGCTGCGCCGCCTCCCGAGCCCGGTGCTTGCCTGCTCTCACACGCGCCAGTGGAAGGAGGCGGGGGGAGTGGGCAGAAAGGGTGACGTGGGAGAGAGAAGAGATGGAGGGAAGTGACGGGGGGGGGGGGAGTGGAGGGCATGGGGATGGGAAGGTGGGCGAGGAGAGAGGAGAGGAGTGGATGTGACGGAATTTCAGAAGTCTCGGATAGGAGGGGGGATGGGAGGAAATGCAAGAACGGGGGGATGCGAGGGATCTTGTGAGCAGCCGATGCAAGAACGAAAGGTATTAGTGCTCTTTGCTTCCTTTCCGGTCATTATGAGCCGTTTCTTCCACGAAGATGCATAGATGCATGCATGCATGCCTCGTGTGCTGTGTTGTGTTCCACCCCTTAACCCCTGCATTCACGGATCCCGCCAAGGCCTGCCCGTTTGAGGGACCAGCAACAACGCATTGCATACTCGTACCGACCCCAATGCCCGCTGATAGCCCATGACCCACCCGATGCAATTCCAATGCTCACAACCCACCCGAGGCAATCGCGATGCCCATGACCCACCTGATGCAATCCCGATGCCCATGACCCACCTGATGCAATCCCGATGCCCATGAGCGAGGAGCCCGCGTTGGCCATGATCGCCCTCACATCCGCAAAGTCCACATTCACCAGCCCCGGCACCTGAGGGGTAAAAGTGGGGGGGGGAGGGGTAAGGAAACGGTGGGGGGGGGGGGGAGGGGAGGGAGGAGTGACACACACACAAGACGGTGGGTTTGGGAAGTCGATTCCACACTCACCAGCCCTGCTGTGAAGGGGACAGGGGAGAGGAGGGGGTGGAGTTGGGAGGAGAGAGAGACACAAAAGAGGAGTGGGTCTGGGAAACTAACTCCACTTTCACCAGCCCCAGTACTTGAGGGCGGGGAAGGAGGGGGGCGTGGGGGGAGGAGGTGCAGAAGGAATGGGGTTCCAAGCGAACTTCAATCATAGTATCACCAGCACGGGCATTTTGAAGGAAGAAGGAGGAGGAGGAGGAGGAGGAGGAGGAGGAGGAGGAGGGGAAGGGGAGGGGGGTCCGCGAGTGATACGGAGTGGCGAGGCTGTCAGGGTCAGGGGTGGCTGGGACCATGCAGCACGGGCAGCATGGGCACGACAACCAGGTGGGGAAAGGTAAGGGAACGGGGGAACGGGGGGAATTAGAAGTGGGTATGGGGAAGAGGAGAGGGAGTGTGGGAAAAAGGATGGTATTTCTTTCACGCAACCCATGAGTGCGAAACCCACCACTCCTGGCTTCTCATCCCCTCCTTTCAGTAATTTCCTTTTTTCACTCCCTACCCTGCTCTCCCTTCACACACCCCTCCCTCTTCCCAGCAATGCCCCAATCGTTCGACGCCCCCACTCGCACCCAACAACCGCTCCGCACCCCACCACACCCCACGGCACCCCACAGGCGCGGAACGGACCTGCACGATGTCGGAGATGCCGCGCACGCCCTGGCGCAGCACGTCATCCGCCATCACGAACGCCTCATTCACGGGTGTGCTGGCGTCCACGGCGCTCAGCAGCTTGTCGTTCGGGATCACGATCAGCGTGTCCACCGCGCCGCGCAGCTCCTCCAGCGCGCGCACCGCCTGCGCCGCGCGCCGCTGCCCCTCGAACGAGAACGGGAGAGTCACGATGCCGACTGTGAGGATCCCCAGGCTGCGCGCGACCTCCGCCACCACCGGCGCTGCGCCGCTGCCCGTTCCGCCGCCCATCCCCGCCTGCGGGACGGCGGGGGGCGGAGGGGGGGAAAGGGGAAGGGGTTGGCGGGAAGGGAGAGAGGGCGGTGGAGGATTGATTGGTTGCCCGTGAAGGATGGGATATGAAAATGGGGAAAGCGAGGGGGGCGCCGATGACGCAGTGAGAATGAAGGGGGCATAGAAAGAGCGGGGGGGGGGGGGGGGGGGGGGGGGAGGGTGGGTGGGATGGGAACTACCGAACCCATGTGCGAATCGCTATGATACTTACTCACGCTCGCCGCTTGTTTCTTGTTGCAAAAATCTAGAAATGCACATTGCGTTCCTTGGTATGATCACACTGTTAATCACTCTCCGGTACAACAACAAGTCCTCCTCGTCTTCCTTCTTCAGTACACGCACTGTTCCCTGCTCGTCATTTGTTCCGCTCCGTTTGTTCCTCGTTGAGTCCACTCGTTCCAGCTCCAGTAGCGAGTACTCCCCCCTCAAACACTTCACAAATACACGTCAGTCAGTCCACCATTCCCAGTGTCTCCCACCGCCACGCCAACACACCCCACAGCCCACACTAGTCAACCTCTCCGAAAGAACAAAAACCAATTGGACCACATCACCCCGTCCTCTCGTCTTTTCATCGCCTGCCTCTCACCGTAACGAACACCATATCCGCGCCAGCGAGCGAGGCCTGCAGCATCAGCCGGCTCTCCTCCGCCGCGTGCTGCCCGATCATCGGGTTGCCGCCCGCGCCCAACCCGCGCGTCAGCTCCACGCCGATCTGCAGCCGGTTTCCCCGCCCCACCGGCGACAGTTCTAGCGCCTGGCCGTCAGTGTTGACGACAAACGGCTCGACTCCGCGCATTCCCATCTAAGCTCCGCCGAAATTCGGAGGGGGGAAGTGGTGGGGGGGGTGTGAGACAATATAAAAACGGAAAACTAGACGTAAGACGAAATTCGAAGACCGGGTTGGCGGATTTGCTTGTGGGTTACTTGCTCCTGTCCGCCCTACGGATTGTAGGGTTGTTAAAAGTCACCCATAATCATATAGGATTGTTACTGAACACCCTACGTGTTGAGCGGCCATTGTTACCTGAATCATTCGATTGACCGCGTTCGACCCGCCACCGCCGACGCCAATCACTTTTATCGACGCGCCTGTGAAGCTATCCGCCATGTTAACCACCGCGCCTCCCGTTTGCGTGTTCCATTCCGAGTGGTTGTTCACAACAGCGGTGTCGCCGGTGTCGCCAGTATCTACATATTCTTGCGTTCCGCCAGTGGGCCGTGGCGGCCGGCCGTTCATCCTCGCCGAATCTTCATATGAAGGCGCGAGAGACGCGCACACTCGAGCGCGCGAAGAGACACCAACGGGGAGAACTTCGGAAACGCCTGCAGTTTTTTTCCTGGTTAGCAGAGGCCTTTTGCCGAGCGAGCGCTCGGGGAAGTTAGGGATTCGAGGTCGCGCGAGTCCGCGGGCTGCGGAGAGACGGTCAGTTTGAGCGCACATCGGCGGCTGGGGGGTTGACGAGGCGACAGCTTCTACTGACGCGAACGGCGTGCGATGCTCAGCCTGCGATGAGATAAGGAATGCTTGGGTTTGTGAGCTCGCGACTGTGGGCGCTAGGGACGCCATGGTTACCGCTTGGGAGCGAACGTTGTAGATCTATACACTATGCTGATAATGTGCTCCACGGGATTAACCTACAGGCAGCGAGTGAACACGAACACTATTTTCCTTTGTTACGAAGCACAGCTACCTGTGAGCTGAGGTGCAAATTCTTCAGTCAGAAATAGAGCTTGAGAGGGGTTGCTTTTCATCCAGCAGCTGGGTTGAGTTGAGTTGAGGCATCCAGCATCCAGCTCGGGGCAAAGTTCCTCCAACGATGTTGTCGCGCTTCGCTACACCCAACCACCTTTCCTACTGACGGCGAAAGGTGTGTGTGTTTGAGCGCGAGCGATCTTGGCAGTGCCAGCTGTGTGGTGAGTTTGTGACTGTACGAGGGGGTTGAGGATTTGAAAGAGAAACTTTTGGCGGGAAGCCAGGGTCAGAGCAAGCTCGAGTTGTTCAGTGGATGAATTAGGCGGGATTTTGTGGGACCAGCCACATGGCTAGGTATACTCTGATTGGACTCTACTGGTGATTCAGAGTCAGCGGTGATTACGGAAAGATTCCACCACCACAGGTACACCGTTCTCATGGTGGAACTACACTAAGCAGGAAACAGTTTTAAATTTTCTTTATCCAATATAATCAGCATACACAATAATTTATTCCATACCCCATGACATGGTCCTCCCCCCCCCTTCCTCCTTTATTTGCCACCCCTTCCACCGAACCTCACTCCTTCCAATACACAACAGCTCCTCCTCATCCGTTCCTACTCCTTTTTTCCTGCATGCCTCCTCCACCATCCATCGTCTCTCCTATCACTTGGTGCACTTCTGCTTATCATCCGACAACTTCCACCCATTGGCGCAAAGGCATCCGGGATCGATAGTACTCCCACTGGTCTCCACAACCTTATCCGACGGGTAGCATACGCCAATGCGGATGCCGCCGCACTGCACATTCCCAGAAGTGCCGCAGAACGCGCTGCACGCAGCAGCAGTCCTCTGCAATGCCTTGGCGCAGCAATCGGCAGGCAGGGAATCGCCCTCTGAGGAGGAAATTGTCAGGCAGTTCTTGGCCAGAGATGCCGCGCAAATAGTCTTCCCATCCTTGTCCTTAGGCAGGGAAGAACCAAAGAAGTAGTTGTCGTCGAGGTTGAGTGTGGTAGGGGCCTTGTAGAAGCTGGGAGGAGGCCCGGTGAAGTAGTTGGCACTCAGGTCCCTGTGGTGTGTAGGTGGGAGCAGGAGTAGGTGCAATGCAGAAGAAATGCATCAGAGGAAGGTCAGAAGACGGGACGTTTGGAGAGGAATTAGCGAGGGAAGGAGCAGAGGCGGGTTGGGTGAAGGTGTGTGTGAGAGACGGACAAATCAGGGCGGAGAGGAAGCAGAAAGGGAAAGTGTAGAGTGAATGACTAAAGTACGGAGAGGCGTACACTTCGGTGAGCGTCTTGAGGGATGAGAAGGAGGGCACGTAGCCATCGAGGAAGTTGTCCTGCAGAAGGCTGCTCGGACAGAACATGAGCGTGAGGTAATAAGGGTTGCAGATCATGTGCGTGTGCGCATGTGAGCGAAGGAGGAGTGAGGAATGAGGCGGAGCGTGAGGGAGGGAGGAATTGGGGGCAGGAAGCAGAGGAAGGAAAGAGGATGCAGGTGAGGAAACTGAGTAAAAAAAACAATGACAGAAACGGGGCTAGTGAGGAGGGAAAGGCACAGGCACGATGGGAACGAACGAACAAGCAGATACGATTCAGCAACAGACAGGGGAAGGGAGTTGGAAAGCAGAGGAGAAGCAAGGGAAGCAGGGAGGGAGGGAAGCGCACAGGTTGCTGAGCTTGGTGAGCGCGGTGATGGTGCGCGGAATGATGCCCTTGAAGCGGTTGTTGTTCAGCGAGCTGCGAGGGGTTTGCACGCAGAGCCGAGACATGGGAGAGGGGTTGGGGGCCGGGATGTAGTGATAGGCGTGCAGGGAGAGTAGGAAAACAGCACGGATAGGAGAGTGTGGGAAACCGTACTAATGGAGCGGGAATGGGAAGGAGAGAAGCGGAAAGTGGGCGTGGGTGGGGAGCAGCGGGAGGGTGGAACGTACAGGTACGTGAGCTTGGTGAGAGTGCTGATGGTGTTGGGAATGCGACCCTCAAAGCCGTTGTAACGCATGCTCCTGACCAGCATGGCACGGTTAGGACACGTGGGCAGTTAGGACACATGGAAGAAGCTCACACTCGGGATGCTTGGTGTGGTGGCGAAGGGGAAGGGGAGGCAGCAGGTTGAAGAGATGGTGACACACACAGTGGGATAGCTGACAGAGACGGACAAATGAGGCTCACAGGTAGTTGAGGCTCACAGGTAGTTGAGGCTCACAGGTAGTTGAGGCTCACAGGTAGTTGAGGCTCTTGAGATTGGAGAAGCCCTGCGGGAAGGAGCCATTGAAGTAGTTGTTGCCTAGCAGCCTGGCAGCACGGGATGAGGGGGGCGTGCAGGCCGGGGATTGGTTGGTGGAGTTGCAGTGGGAACACGATGAGTGAGAGAAAAATGCAGAGAAAATTGCAGAGAAAAATGCAGATTCGGAGGGATGCAGAGAGGAAGGATGAGATAGGCCAAATCAACTTCAGTAGCATCAACAATAGCAGCAGCAGGAGCAGGAGCAGCAGGGGCAGCAGCAAGAGCACGCACAGGCGGTTGAGTTTGGTGAGGGAGGTGAGCACGCTGACAGGGCCGCTCAGACCGTTGCGTTGCAGGTAGCTGCAATGACAAGGGGGAGGTTGGGAGAGGGTGGAAGTGAGGGCAGGGGTGAGAAAGGAAAAAATGGAAAAACTAGTCCCTTCCTCACCTTCTCCAATCTCCTTGTTTCCCCCCCCTCTCTCCCTTCCTTCCCCTCCCCCTTCCCTCTCCCTCCCTCTCAACTCCCTCCGTGCCACTCAACCCATCTCTTCCCACCGCGGACATTCTTAATCCGTCCACCCTCTTCTGCTCCCTCCTTGACCTCTCTACACTCCCTGCACTCCCCCTTCCCCCGCTGGTCCCCCCGGACCCAGAGCGCTCACAGCTCGTTGAGGCGGGTGAGCTTCCCCAGGCCGGAGGGCAGGGTCCCCTTGAGCCCGTCCTCCCCCGAGGCTGACAGCCCCCTGCATGCACCAGAGGGAGTTGAGGGGTGCGGGACGGGGAGCAGGAGGAGAGAGCAGGAGGGAAAAAGGTGATTACCATGAGGCAAGAGCTCGAGGACAGTGCGTACGATCTGGTCAGCGTCTTAGAAGGAGTGCTCAAAGGTAATGCGTGCTCTCAATAGTACCGGTGAGCCCTCTGATGGGTAACAAGCGTGGTCGATTACATCGTGCCGCTCGCATATCGTGTCGATAGGTCAGCAGCGCATGCACGCACGTATGCTCGCTCGCTCGCTCGTTCATTCAGTCAGATTCAGAAGACGCTGTCACAAGTCCCTCCGCGGAAGCGCGTGAGTGAGAGTGACGGCGTGTGAGCGACTCACAGGTACACGAGTTTCTGCAGAGCACTGATGAAGTTGGGGATGGAGCCTGTGAGGGAGTTGGAGCTCATGTCGCTGGTGGTGGTGTGTGTGGCGCGGGGGGGCAGGGCGGTGGGCACGGTGGGCGAGAAGGGGGGCGGGGAGGGTGAGGGTTGAAGGGGTGGGGGGGGGAGGGGAGCAGAGGGGGAAGAGTGAAAAAATGACACAGTGCAAGGAGAGCAGCACGAAGCAGAGTGCGGGAGAGAAGGATGGCAGGCGTTCCAGAACGAAGCAAGAGGTGCGGCGGAGTTGCAAGGAGTGGTGAAGAAAGGTAGGGAGTGGTGCGTCAGTGGGTTCGGCACTTGGTGACATGAGGAGGGAGGGGGGATGGAAGATGGCTGAAAAAAATGTCATGACTGGAGGATCAACGAAGGGCCACGTGACATGAGCAGAGAGGGGGAATTGTAGTTGGCTGTGCGGAGCAGGTGATCCTGTGCATACAGGTGAGTGAGGGCCGTGAGCTTGGAGACGAAGGTGGAGATGGAGCCCTCGTAGCCAGTGTCGGCGATGTCTCTAACGAGGATGAGCAATGGCAGACAGTGGGCGGGTGACAGGGGGAGGAGGAGATGCACTGAGGTTGAATTAGAGGTACGTCCCGAATGCAGGGGAGGAGCAATGAAGCACAGGCGATGGGGGGAGGAGGAGGTGTGTGAAGGGAAATGGAGGAGAGTACGAGGAAAAAACAACCAAACAAACAAACAAACAAACAAACAAACGAGCAAGCAAGCCAGCAAACAAATGAACGAAAGCGGAAAAGGGAGCGGGTATGAGATGAAGGGACAGAGGAGCATGTTGGGTTACTGAGGGGCGATGGGTGGGAGTGAGGGAAGAGACGGCGGGTGACTGACAGGTGTTTGAGCTGCTTGAGGTTTGTGAGCGATGAGAACCCCGTGTTCAGGTTGCTGTTGCCCGACACGTCGCTGCTCAGGGTGTGGGGGGAGGGGATGGGAGCGGAGAGGGCATGGAAGGTGGGTTGGCGCGATAAGTGGAAGGTCAGTGGGTGGATGCTGGGGTTGGAAACGGAACGAGCAAGGAACAGAAATGAGTATCTGGCAAGGAGGGGCGAGGGTGTGGGAGGGGCGAGAGTGCGCTGGTAAATGCAGCAGTGCAGAGAGCAGCGAAGGGCAGAGTGTCAGGAAGGGGCGGTGCTCACATGTAGGAGAGGGCAGTGAATTTGGAAAGAGACGCGGCAGACCCCGTGATGCTGTTCCCAGACAGATCACTGCATTGGCGCACGCAGTGGCGTGTGTCATGTGGATCAACCGACAAGCAACCAGCAGTCAATGAATGGACGCACGACGACCGTGTCAGTCAACAGGAGGCCGGGTGGCTAAGAGGAGAGAGGGGACGAGGGCGTGCCATGAGGCGTGTGTGTTCGCCGTTCGTCTAGTGAAGCAAGGCAGGATCCTGTCGTGAAGCAGTGGACATAAGGAAAATGTGGTGTCGCACGTTGCACATCACAATTCGCACGTCGCACATCCCACGTCGCACGTCGCACGTACAGGTACTTGAGGCTCTGCAGCTTCGTCAGCACGCCAATGGGTCCCGACGCACCCGCGTCCGCGATTGTCCTGCGAACAGACACGGAGAATGGCCGATTCGGCCAGGGAGCGGAGGCGTCAGCTGAGATGGTTTATTAAGCGCCAAACGCACGGCAGCTTGGCGAAAGCAGGATGGCAATGTGACGAGACTTCTCACCTCAGCGTCCAGACGGCGTGACAAAGGAGCTCTGAGTTTCCTAACAAGTGGCATTACAAAACGAAAATGAGCGACCTCGCATCCACGCGCGGCGCGAATCGGCTCACATGTTGATGACATAGCCGTTGTCGGCGCACTTGATGCCCACGTAGTGGTCGCACTTCTTGTCAGAGTCCTTCCACGTGTCGGAACCCGTGAAGTCGCCCCACGCGCCCACCAAGTCCTCCAGAACCATCTCTGCGCAATGGTTCGGGGGACGGTGAGAGGGGGGCAGGGTGGAAGACGGGATAAAGGGACGGGAACGAGAGATGCGGGGAATTTTTACGACCAGGAAAGAATGAGGAGAAGCTGGAGAGAGCTTCTCGCCGGACGGTTTGGAGCACGGTGTGAGAGGTGCTACAACAATGGAAGGACCGTTTTAGGAAAATTCAAACGAAAAAAAAAAACAAAACAAAAAAAAACAAATCCAAGGAAATAGCACACATCGCGTTGCAAAATTCGTGTTGGACGTAGTGGAAAGAATATCTCCGCGTAACTGCGCGGCGTGTTAGAAGGAGACGAGGCATTGGCTTTGACAATGCGGTTGAGCGGTGATTATTACGGTCGTCGCTGTTAATCTTGGTGGCGAACGGTAGGCGCAGAGATTCCACGTGGAGGCAGACGTTGCTGGTGAGGCACGCCGCGAAGATTGCAGCTAGCAGATGACGATTCGCAAGCGAAAATGACGCCATTGTTGAGAGTTCGTGAAGCAGGTGCAGGAACAAAATTGCCACAAAATAGTGCTTTGAGCTTCAAAATTCGCCCCTGAGGCTCTGAGACGAAGCGAGAAGGAGAATTGAATCTGTTGACGATGGTTGCGAAATGGAAAGGCGACTACACCAGATGTGTACGACTCGGCGAAAGCTTTCGATTTGTACTTTTGATGCTCGCCGAGCCGCCTTCCCAAGTCAGCCATGCCAAGTCGCGTGATTCGGCGGCGCGCAGACGAGCCTCGACTCGATGTCAAACAGGGCAAGCCGATCGGCGAAATGACGCGCATAGGCGGAAATCGCGTTTCTCTCAATTGAACCGACCCAAATTAATGTGACCTCGCCACGTCGGCGTTTCCCTTAATTGGTTGGACCCCGTTTGCGCGCGCTCTGTTCACTCGCTTTCCCGCCCTTCCCCACCAAAATCGGGCAGCTGTGCTGAAGTTCAGATCTATCACAAACAGTCGCGATTTCAACCTTCAAGGGTACCTCCACATTATCGCCACGTGAGGAACTTCTGATTGCTCGAAACATTTGTGCGCGCCAGAGTAACTATAGTTTCTTTTTGTTTTAGATATCTTTAAACTAAGCTTATTCTATGAAACGTCTATTTTTATTTATTGATATTAATAGTCACTCCGAGGCGGAATATATTTAACTAGTTTTATAATAGGTATACCTTTTGTCTGATTATAGTAATTTATATTATTTAGAATGGAAATATTACCCCCCGATTAAGAAGATTGTAAACAAAACTATGTTAATGCAGTGGCATAAAATCAATAAAACCCATATTTACTGTTTATGATCTCTTTAAAAATCATAATTTATTTAGATGTTATGCTCAAGCTATTAATAATTTCAGAATAAATCAGATTCTAACTACAGATTATGGTTTATATAATAAGTTAAAATTAAGTAAAGATACTACTTCAAATTTAACTGTGCGTTCCTCAGCGGCTCCCGGCACAACCGAACGTGCACGTCATTCAACATTTAAGAATCAAAACTCACTGCTTGCATGTCAATTTGGCGCGCGAAAAAATCAGCAGTGTTCTGTCCAATCAGATGTCGCTCGCAAGTCTAAATCTTAGCGTTATGAAAAAACAATGAATTTGTGACTGTTTATGATTCCAATAAATTCCAGCGGGTGCCCGAATTTCGGTTGGGAAGGGCGGGAAACTCGCGCGCAAGCAGCGCGCGCAAACGCGGTCCATCCAATTAAGGGGAACGCCCACGTGGCGCGGTCGGCGTAATTCAGGTCGATCCAATTGAGAGAAACGCAATTTTCGCCAGTGCGCGTCATTTCGCCAAGCCGATCTTACCCAAGCTGCCGGCGGTCGAGAGCTTGATGCGCTGCCAGAGGGAGTGGGCTTGCCAAACCTGCCACGCACAAGGTATTTCGGCGGTTCCTCCGGAAAATGGTGAAGCTGACTGGTGCGCGGCACCAGCCGCTCATATGGTAGGGCTCTCCAGTTGGTATTGGGGGACCCTGATAGGTTAAGCCTGCCACTGTAGTGTGCGCGCGTGGCATAGTCAATAAATTACTTTTCCCCATGTAGGAACTGGCAGGGTCTAGCCATTCGCCAGCCAAGTATTCGAGCATTATCGGGATCTGCTCGATGATCGAGCAGGGACAAAGCAGTAATTCACGTCATAAATTACTAGCTAAATATGGGTGTGTTTCATGCAGGGTGACCTGGAGTTGGAGGTAGATGCGGTTAATGATGGAGGCCGAGACTCACCCTGAAAACCATGTTGAAATGGATATTCCGCCCTGAAATCCTAGCCATAATCATAGAGCAATTTGGGACGAATTGGAGGAGGTACGAAATAGAATTTGGTGACTCGCTCAATATGTCAGCATGGGTTCGTAGGCAGAAGTTCCCCAGGTTTTTTAGGGATCTGACCTCAGGTTCAGGTTGACACCAGTAGGGCTCAACGCTGGTTTCAAGCTCATCCGCACCTACTCGATACCTCGTTTTGCGAATTTGGGTGGATTGATAGGAATGAGTTGCAAGGAGAGTCACTTCAACAAATGTTGTGCTTTCAGAGAGAACTTTCGAAATGTTCAAACTTCCAACTGCTAGGGGAGTCAAAAGGGAGTGAACAAGCCTGCCCACATGTTGCAAGTGGCGGCGGCGAGCCACTGGGTCAGAATGGGATATTTTGTAGGTTTCAATGTATATGGAGCTTTGTTACAGAGAGCTCTTACCTACAGTTCTGTATCATGTGTCAATCTTTAACTATAGGGGAAAAAATCACCCAGCAAAATACGTTATATAGCAATCCATTACTACAAGAAACCATATGGACATTACGGGTAACATTTCCAGGCATAAGAAGACGATAAGGATATCATTTAAAAAATGAACTCTATTTCATTTTGGGCAAAACTTGCGACTTCGTAACACAAAATGCAAGCGTTCGAAAGTTTGGATATGTGCTCCGCCTTTTATTGCTATATATTTGGCCTTTTATTGTGCGGTTGCAAGATGCGATTAAAAATGTCCCACGTAGCCAAATATGCAAGACCCAACACCCCGTGCCAACTGTTACGATATGGAATTGTTGAACAAACATTCATAAGTAACGAATCCATAACGCGAAGTATCAAGAATAGAACTAGGAATGAATGATTGAACTAGGCAAGAGGTGAGTACAAGTAGGGGAAACCGAACCCTAAAGTGTTGTACTCACTAAGGAGTGACCCTACTGTAGCCTAGAGATACAATTGTAATTTGACACACCCCCATAGGCAAAGTAGGGGACAGCAAACACAACAAGCGGTCACAAGACCAGTCTGCAGAAGAGAACACAGCTCAGGGTGGATCACAAAGTCACCACGCATTCTGAGAACAAGCAAGTGGTCACAAGGCCAGTTCACATGCATAGGTATATAATAGCAAGGCAGTACACTGATCACAACCTAGCAAGAGAAAACATGCAGGTATAAAGATATATTGCAGTGTACAACAAGAGCAAGTCAAGCAACCAGCAGGTGAGACAGAGTGGGCACAAGCCCAAGAGCAGTGCAGAAACGGTGATGATCACCAGACCCAAGGGCCTTGGTGAAGACATCAACAGTCTTGGCCCGAGAGGCCACGTAAGCAAGGCGCAGCTGACCACGCTGCTGCAGCTCACGCGCAAGGAAGTAGCGAAGAGCAATGTGCTTCGTTCCGTGCTCCAGTCTCTGCTCGCGACACAAGGCAAGCATTGCCTTGTTGTCGACGTACAGAACTGGAGGAGAACGAGGCCGCTCCCCCAAGTCGGTCAGCAGGTAGGTCAGCCAGCGTAGCTCCTGTGCAGCCATGGCCCCAGCGAGGATATCGGCCTCACAGCTGGAACCAAGAACAGAAGAAGAACGAGTGGACCTCCACGAGACAGAACCAGAGCCAAGACTGAAGGTGTAACCCTGTGACGAACGCTGAGTCGTCTGGTCGTCGGCCCAAGAAGCGTCAGAGTGTCCTGTGAAGACCACCGAACCCCGTCCTCCAAGCACGAGCCCCATGCCCGATGTGCTGCACAAGTAACGCAGTACCCTCTTCGCAGCATCAAAGTGCACCTTTCGGTGTCTACCAGGTGCCACGTAGCGAGCCAGGAGGCTGAGAGGGTACGCGAGGTCAGGTCGTGTGCACGTCATCAGGTACATGAGGCAACCCACAAGCTCTGGGTACGGACCACTCGGCTCTACAGACTCGTCCGAAGGTGGAGCTGAGAGCGAGTGGCTGGTAGACAGAGGAGTGGGCTGTGGCGAGGACCACGAGAAGCCGAAGCGCTGAAGGACCTGCTGCACCATGTGTGACTGAGTGAGGGTGATGGTGCGCCGTGGTCTGTCCCGGGTGATCTGCAAGCCAAGATAGCTCCGCAGCTCACCCAGGTCAGTGCAGGTGTGTCTCTCCTGCAGCTCCGCCTTCACTAGGGCCAGTGCCTCAGTGTCAGCAGTAGCAAAAACCAAGTCGTCGACGTACACGAGGATGTAGAACGGCGGCAGAGTAGTGTCGGTGCGTAGAAACAACGACGGGTCAGCAGTCGAAGGAGCAAACCCAAGAGCTGCAAGTGTCGTCCTCAGTGTGTCGTGCCACTCACGGGGCGCCTGACGCAGGCCGTACACTGGTCGCCGTAGGCTCCACTGGGTACCCTCAGGAAACGACCCAGTGAAGCCCTGTGGACGGCGCAACCAGATGGCCTCGTGAAGGCTACCCTGCAAGAAAGCTGTCAAGAAGTCAAGGGAGTGCAGCTCGTAGTCACGCTGAGCTGCAACGTGTAGCAACACCCGAAGAGTGGTCATCTTCGGGGTGGGGGAGAAGGTATGAAAGAAGTCGACCCCCTCACGCTGACTGAAGCCTCGAGCAACGTAACGTGCCTTGAAGGCAGGCGGAGAACCCGGCGGCCGCTTCACCCTGAAAATCCACATGCCACTGACGATGTTCGCCCCAGGTGGGGGAACCTCGTCGACGTAGGTGCCTGTGGACTTCCAGGAAGC